GATCTCCCCTTTGGCATTCTTCTTATATATATATATATATATATATATATATAACCAAGCCATGATGTTGCTCAAATCGTACTAGACTTAACGATTTTATCGACGAATTTTTCCCTATATCGCGTTAATTCGACCGACCATGTCATATTGAAGTCCAAGAATCGTATTTGTACAACATCGCTTCCAACAACAATTCCATTAGACTCTAGTTAAGGATCGAAAGGGTTCATCGTCACACACACACATATATATATATATATATATATATGATCATTTAGGGGTGGACACGGCATGGGCGGATACCCGGACTTTTTAGGGTACCTTTATCTCGGTCTCGGTCTCGTCGGGTTTTTGATTGGAATATCTCGCTCTCTATCTCGCGAATCTCGGGTACCCGAATCTCGGGTATCCGAGACACGAGATCGGGTACTCGTACTCGTGTAAATTTTATAAAAAAAAACTGTGCAAATTTATACATTATCATCATAATTATAAGTCGAATGTCGAAACTGCAGAACAATTAAAAACATCGATTTACCTTCAGTTAAATATCATAAAACTTAATTAAAAACAATTATTATCCGAAAATTAAAAAATACACCAAATCCCCTCATGGCCGTTCATCGAGTCGATGGCGTCCATCATGGAATTTTCGTCCTTGAAAGTCATGAACCCAAATGCGTTGGATCTACCAGTCTCACGATCGTTGATAATCTGATTAAGATACCAGCATACAAGATAGATCAGAAGAAAACAACAAAAAAAAGTGAAACGAGAAGGAACATACTAACAGTGTCATCAACAAATCGAATCAAGTAACATAGAAACACAAATCGGAAGGGATCAGGTGAGATCGGATCTATCCAAGATCAGAACATCAGATCTGTGTGTAGGATTAGGGGGAGGATTATTCGAATGAGGGAGGAGGATTATTTAGTGTTTAGGATTTTTGGAGGAGATTAGGAAATATTTGGAAGAAGAAATGATTTGAAGATTTAAGAAGAGGAATGTTTTTCTTAATCTTTCTCTTTGTTTTTCTCTTCAAATTTCCTTGATTTCAAACTCCATACAAACACATATATTTATACTACAATCTCCCACCTAACTACATATCTAACTCACTTATTAAACATATTTTTACCTAATTTTCTTCCACACATATTCTACACATTTCTAACTACCTCACCAAACTACAATTCCATCACATTTTCACATACTAACACATTAATCACATTTCACACACTTTTCATATTAATCACATTTTCATAACCATACTAAAATATTGATTTTTTTTAATCAAGTTTAATTTCAACACTCCCCCGTAAACTTGATTTTGGTGACTCCGAGCGCGCTCCTGATCCTTTCGAAATCTTCTCGTTTCAATGGCTTCGTAAAGATGTCTGCAATCTGATCATGAGACTTGACAAATTGAAGTTCCACCTCCTTCTTTGCGATACACTCTCTGATGTAATGATAACGAGTGTCAATGTGCTTGCTTCTATCATGGAAGACCGGATTTTTCGCCAGTGCCAATGCTGATTTGTTGTCGACGTAGATTTTGGTAGGCTTGTCTTGCACCAGATTCACCGTCCTCAACAGATTTCGGAGCCATATAGCATGACACACACATGAGGTAGCAGCTACATATTCAGCTTCACATGTGGAAAGCGTCACTATGGGTTGCTTCTTCGATGACCAAGTGAAAGCAGAGCTTCCAACAAAAAATACAAATCCAGTGGTGCTCTTTCGATCATCAACATCTCCAGCCCAATCACTGTCACTGTATCCATGTAGCTCAAAATTGTTAGTTGATGAGTACGATAAACCAAGAGCGATGGTACCTTTGATGTATCGAAGGATCCTTTTTGCCATCTTCAAATGAGTTGTTGTCGGAGTCTCCATGTAACGACTGACAAGTCCAACTGCGAACAGAATGTCGGGTCTCGTGCAAGTGAGGTACCGAAGACTTCCAATCAGACTCTTGAAGAATGTTGGATCAACAGTATCTCCCTCTTCATATCTTGATACTTTGGCACCACATTCTATTGGCGTACTTATCGGCTTGCAATTCTCCATGTTGAACTTTTTCAAAATCTCCTTGGCATACCCTTCTTGAGAAATGAAAATCTTATCTTCTTCTTGCTTGATTTGGATTCCGAGATAATACGACATCAACCCAATATCAGTCATCTCGAATTCTTTGGTCATTTGCATCTTAAATTCCTCGAACAACAACGGATTATTCCCGGTGAAGATTAAATCGTCCACATACAGGCACACAATCAACATATCTCCTCCTTGAATTTTGATGTAGAGGGCATGCTCGTATGGACATCTGATAAAATTGTTTTTAGTAAAATACCTGTCAATGCGGGTATTCCAAGCCCTCGGTGCTTGCTTCAATCCATAGAGTGCCTTCTTCAATTTCAACACTTTGTCTTCTTTCCCTCGGACTTCATAACCAGGTGGTTGTTGGATATAAACTTCTTCTTCAAGCACCCCATTAAGAAATGCAGACTTTACATCCATTTGATGTATCTTCCACCTGTTTTGGGCTGCTAAAGAGATGATCAATCTTACAGTCTCAAGACGAGCTACAGGTGCAAATACCTCGTCGTAGTCGATCCCTTCTCTTTGACTGTAACCTTTTGCCACCAGCCTTGCTTTGTATCTTTCGATCTCCCCTTTGGCATTCTTCTTTGCTTTGTATACCCATTTTACTCCGATCGTTTTGTGGCCTTTTGGAAGTGAGGTCAAATCCCATGTATCATTCTTCTCAATGGCCCTGATCTCTTCATCCATGGCATTTCTCCACCTTTCATCTTGTACAGCTTCTTCAAAATTCTTAGGTTCACAATCCGCAAAAAGACAGAAAAGAGTAAGATCATCTTGCCTTTCAGTTGCCTCATATAGATCTTCAATGCTTCG